TACATACATACATACATACATACATACATACATACATACATACAAGCAAACATACATACATACATACATACATTACATTACATTACATTACATTACATTACATTACATTACATTACATTACATTACATTACATTACATTACATTACATTACATTACATTACATTATATTATATTACATTACATTACATACATACATACATACATACATGCACGACTGCATTGGCGCTTCGCGCCATGCACCTTGGTCCTTGAAGTTTTGTATGCGGGTGCAGCGGCAGGAATGTCAAACCGACAATTTAGCGATAACTCCTTGTTGCCTTTTCTGGCGTCGCCGTTATAACAAAGTTACTCGCTATCCTTCCTCCATGATTGTTTTCACTCATTCTCGCCCTACCCTGCGTATTTCCCCCATCCTCCTCAGCTCTTTATACGGAGGCTCCTCCTTGGAGAGCCTCCGGGAGCCTTGCGGAAGTTGCTCTGTTTTTGGGGGGGGCCTTCTGGAGGCCTCCTGGGCGTCTTCTCGAGGCCTCTGGGGGCTTCCTCGGACCACCCTGCCTCCAACCGCAGTCTCCCTGAACGACTGGGTCACGATTTGGAATGCTTCGGAGGGCGTGTTGGGGCCATTTTGGGCCGTCATGGGGATCTCTTAAGCCACCTTGGAACCCTGTTGTGCCGTCTTGGGGCTCTCTTGTGGAAGCCTTTTCGGATGGCTGCGGGGCGATTTCGAGCCTCCCAGGCGGCTTCGGACGCCCAGAAGACCCGCCTCGGAGCGTCGGCAAGCCGAAAAGAGGAGAAACCCAAAATTCACCAAAAACCAATAGAAAATCAATGAATTTTGCCTCTTGGGGCATTCTTGGAAAATGCTCTTGGAGGCCTCTTGGGACGTTTTGGAGCGATCTTGGGGGGTATGACTGATTATTGGGGTCGTCGTGGTCCGTCTTGGGGCTCTCTGGGGTCGTTGCCGGAGCGCGCCGGAACGCCTGGAGCCCTCTGGGGCCGTCTTCGGGCTCTCGTAGGGTTCTCCCTGGCCGTTTGGAGGGTTACCCGAGAGGCCCTGGTTGGAGGGTGAAAGTGGGGGTTGGGCGCAGGGTCTTGGCAATGGTTTTTATGTGCCACGCTTGAGGGATCCATCCTCGATTGCTCTGTTCGGCGGGGGAGCCAATTGAAGCTCCCCGTCTGTACCCACGCGCGAGACTTGAGGGTGAACGAAGCAAGGGGGCGGGGGGGGCTCGGGGAAGGCGACGAAGGCAACGTGCGCTAAGGGCGCAAACAAAAGGCTGGAATGAACAAAAGCGGTGAGGTGAGTGTCAGAATCTGCCCAGCCAATCTGACATGCGGAACACTGCGCCTCAGTTTTGGGGATCTTGAAGGCCAGGGCAGAATGCGAATTCACATTGTGGGGAAAAGCAAAATGTGAATTCACATTTTTGGAAGGAAAATGTGAATTCACAAGGGAATCTTGAATTCACATATTGGAACTGTGCGTAGGTATCTTGATGAAAGAGCCAGAATGTGAATTCACATGTTGGGAAAAGGAAAATGTGAATTCACATGTTGGAAAAAAAGGAAAGTTGAATTCACAGTTTGGGAGAATCGAGGCACAAATTCCAAATCTTAGGGGCCGACAAGTCATCGTGTGGGAACATGCGCGATCATCAATCGCACAATCAAGACACACTTGCACTCCACTTCGCCGCCCCACACACACACACACACACACACACACACACACACACACACACACAATACGCAAGAGCGCCCGCACGCAGGAACGATAATGGATGGACGGCGCGTTTGCCCGCGCGGGCAACGCGCGGGCACGAACGACTGGCCCTCCATCCGCTAATATTGGATGCCAATAATGCCCGATCACATACATGAGCGATACATTGAGCATACAATGGGCACTTCAGCTCCCATTGAAGACCCCCTGTTGCAGACCCCTCGTTCGCCCTCACACCTGGGCGGGCCAAATTCGTTAGGGGGGCGCTTTTTTCTGGGGTCCCCGGCCCTGTAGAAATAAATCGGACGCACGATAAGGAGGCAAGGGCCTTGGAAGGCCATCTGGAAGCGTTTCGAGCGGGGCGCGGTCAACGAAAGTGGCCAAGGATGGACCGAGGAAGCCAGGATGCAAGGATACCTTTGGGAAGGTTGCCCATCCTGAGTATGCGGGTTGCCTGTACGGAGAACGTGAATACCTGGGGGCCGCCCAAGATGGCCACGGGCGCCTGGCTATCGCCGCCAACTGCAGGGCAAGGCTGAGGCCGAAGGCCGTGGTGCGCCCAACGACAGAGGTACCCCCCCCGCCGATGCGGGCGTCACATCGTCCAGCCCCACACCCAGTGCGGCCGCCGAGGAAGAGATGGCAACTCCTTCGTCTTTCAAATGCAGTGCCCTTTTCTGGAACGCCTCGAGTAGGAGAACTCAAACCTCCAGAGAGGCCCTTATGGGAGCGCAGGGCGCGAGTCACGGCGGCACCCCAATGTCTTTTGTAGGCTCACTGATGGCCCCATTTGGCTCAAAGTGGCTCCAGGCCGGGTCCCGCCGGGCACAGCTGGCCCCGAGATGGGCCGCAGACGGCTCCAAGATGGCCCGAGAGGCCGCCAGGATGCCCCAAGAGAGCTCCGAGAGGACCCCCAAGAGGCCCCAAGAGGCAACCCAAGAGGAAAACATTGACAGACGACGGAACATCACGGACTTGGGCCTCTTCGAGCTCTCTCGGAACCTCTCGGAGCTTTCTTGGGGCCTCTTCGGACCTCTTGGCCTGTGTGTTTGCCGTGGTGGGCCCATCTGGGGCGACGTTGGGGCCATATGAGTTGTCTTGGAGCGCCCTGGGGTCTCCCGCTCCCGCTCTGTGGCCCGGCTTGGGCCTGTCCTGGGGCTCTCTTGGGTAGTCTGAGGCTCGTCCCGGGCAATTGTCGGGCTCCCTGGGGCCGTCTTGGGGGTCTTTTCTGTGCTTCTTCGGCGGTCTTGGGGCGGTCTTGGGGGCGTCTTCTGCCGTCTTCGAGCATTGGAAGCTCGAGAACGCGAGAAAACAAAAAACATCGAACAAACCAATGCATATCAATGATTTGGGCCTCTTTGGGCTCTCTTGGGACGTCTCTCGGAGCTCTCTTGAGTCCTCTTGGAGGCTTCTTGGGCTGTGTGTGTGCCGTCTTCTTTGTTTGCCTTGTTTTTTTTTATTATTTCGAAGGTGGAAACCACCAGCTCACCAGACGTGAGAACTATTGCCAGGGAGGGATGTCGGAGTGGGACAGGTTGGGAGCTGGGAACGACGAGCGGCGCGGCAGAGTAGCAGCGAGCGCCCCCGCGTGCGGCCTATGGCAGACACGCTGTACTTACCCATCTAGCTGCAGCGATCTGCGGAGCAGCTTGTCAAATCCCCCTGCCTCCGACCACTGGCCTTTTCTTCGCCTCCATACACCGACGGAGCCCTGAACAAACGCCATCGCGAAGCCTGCTGGTCGCATCTGAGCGCTGCGCTATACATACTGCAGCGAGATCGGCGTGAAGACGCAGCGAATAAAACACGCTTTCGAACGCCAGCTCACCAGAGGTGCGCAGACGATGGCAGCAAATCTAATTGGCCATCCTGCCAGGGTGCCTGACGGTATGATAGCGGGCAGTCCCTCGAGACGCGTTACCAGCTTGGAACATCTCCCTATCCCTATGCTGGGCATCTCCTCATCACGATGCCAGTCTTAGGGATTCCCTTATCTTTTGAGGGCGACTCCCTAAGAGTGGCATCGCCTTTTGGCGTATCAATCTTAGGGATAAGGATAAGTTCGAGGCTGGTAAACGCGCCCCGTGTGCTCCGAGAACCAACTGGTCCCCTGGGCGCGCGGAAATTTTGAGCCGCGCGCCCGTGAGGCTGCAACGAAAGGGCGGGGGAGGCGAGGGCGAGCCTCTGCGAGGAAGCGAAGGGAGGCGAGGAAGCGAAGGGTACAAAAGCCGCAACAAAGGGAGGCGAGGAAGCGAAGGGAGGCGAGGAAGCGAAGGGAGGCGAGGAAGCGAAGGGAGGCGAACTCGCCCGTGAGAAATGCAACGAAGGGAGGCGAGGGAGCGAAGGGTCCTAAAAAGGCAGCGAGCTTTGCGCGGCGGCCCCGCGAATTGCTACGGGCAGCGCTGCCAGCCAGTAGATGCCAGAATGGCTAGGGGGCCACATGCGACCCCTGCCCCCACCCTCCCCCTCAGAAATCGTGGGGGGTAGGGGCAGGGGTCGCATGTGCCCCCCCCTAATAGCGGAGCCAATGCGGGGGCGCGTGAGCCCTGGCAAGGCGGACCTGCAGTGCTGCATGCTTGTCAGCGTCGCGGCTGCTGGTCAAGGAGTTTCCGTCGGGCGCTGGCATGCGAGACTCCTGCCCGGCTGACACCGCCCAACGTCTCCGAACTACAAAGCGAGGATGGCCACACATTTGGCAAGAGATGGCAAGCACGAGATACCTAACATTTAGCTGCAGCGACTGCGGGATAGCTGCCTGACCCGGTCAAATTCAGCCGTAGCGCCAGCCAGTCGCACCCATACACAAACGGGTCGCTGAGTAAACGCCATCATGAGACCTGCTGGCCACAGATGAGGCTACACACGAAAGGTAGCCGTGACCACACAGCTGAACAAACACAACATTTCTACTGCCAACGTGGAGAGAAGAAACTGAGGTGCGTAAGTCGCAGAGTTCTCGAGGCCTGGTTCCCCAGGAGCGAAGAGGAGGGGTCCGAAGGCTCAAAGGCAGTAGCTGGTGCTGCCTCGGCTCGGGCAACGCTACCAGCCAAAACGCCAGAATAGGGAGGAAAGTGCAGGCGCCGACAGCGCTGCTGGTCAGGGAGGTTCTGGTCAGGAAGACGGACCACGTCATGCTACTCATCTCGCAAATGAGGTGCACGAGAGCATTGATCTGGATGCTTGAAAATTCGGCCATGCACATCCCACAAGTTTTTCTCTTAGGACTCCTACTTAATGGCCTCAAGACAATGAGATCCTGCTATCGCACTATCGCGTTCTACTCGTGGCAGCCTCGCCGATGCACCTGGGGACCGTGGGGCATGCCCAATAGACTTGGGCCGCCCTCCATCCAGCCATCGCTCGAGACACCGCCAACGGGAACCACGCGCTTCACGACACGCTTCATCTTAATGTCCGCAGCCCTCCGCGGGAGCAACGCTGCCTTCGCGTGGGAGAGCAGCAGCGTGCCGCTGAGCCTCCGCTTCTGCCGCGGGCAGCTCAGGTCGACGGCCACCGTCCCGCCGGGGACCAGCATCCGCACTATCTTCATGGCCTCTTCCCAGCAGTCCCTCTCGGAGCGGATGCTCGCTCGCGCGCACCAGGCGAGGGGCTGACCCTCGGGGATGCACGGCATGTTCTTGCCCTCTAGGATGCGGACGCCCCGCGGGGAACACTGGTCTATGGCGACGCCGATGAAGTGCGAGACCGAGCTGCGCATCACCGAGCCACGCGCGTAGCTGCTCAGTATGTCTCTGACGGTCATCTGCACGTCGTGCCGTGAGGCGCCGTGCGGCCCATCCGCGGGGGGGGCGCGGTGCCGCACGTCGGCGGCACGGCCGCTCGTGCCGAGCACGCCCTCGGCAGGAAGCGTCGCCAGACCCGACGCCTTCCCGGCGTCGCAGGCTCGGGCCAGGCCTGGCTCCGAAGCCACCACGTCGTCGAAGCCTGCTCCCCGCACGGCCGTCTGAGAGCGCAGTCCCGCGAGGCGCCTCAAGTCCAGCCGAGCCCAGCCCATCCTGATTTCGGAGGGCGTCGGCCACTTGGCCCGATTCCTGTAGAAGACCTCCAGTCAAAATGGCTTGAGCCAAAAAAGCTACGAAGACTGTGTTTGCCGTCTTGAGCTCCTCTTAGGCCACGGTGGGATCATCTTGGCCGTCCTGGAGCTCATTGGGGCCTCCCGCTCCCGTTCTGGGGCTCATCTTGTGCCTCTCCTGGGATTCTCTTGGGCAGTCTCGGGCTGCTCTTGGGCAAACTTCAGACTCTCCTGGGCCTTCTTGCAACTCTCTTGGGGGCCTCTTCGGCGGTCTTGGGGCGATCTTCGGGGCGTCTTCGGCCGTCTCGGAGCGTTGGAAGCTCGAGAACGCGAGAAAGCGAAAACATTAGACAAAAACGACTGGAAACTCAAGGATATGAGCCTCTTCGGGCTCTCTCGGGACGCGTCTCGGAGCGCTTTGGGGGGCCTCTTGGAGGGCTCTTGGGCTGTGTATTGGCCGTGTTGGGCCCATCTGGGGCCACGTTGCGGCCGTCAGGGCCGTCTTGGAGCGCCTTGGGGCCTCCCGCTCCCGCTCTGTGGCCCAACTTGGGCCTGTCCTGGGGCTCTCTTGGGCAGTCCGGGGCTGCTCTGGGGCAGTCCCGTGTAGTGGCGCACCCTCTGCGGTTAGTTGAACGGGGCCCTGGTGGGCACTGGATCCTCCGCCGTCGGGTTGCAAACTTTTTCTAGATACTGCATCCTCCGCCCGGTCGGGTTGCAGACCTTTTCTTGAATACTGCATCCTCCGCCCGGTCGGGTCGCAAACCTTTTCTTGAACACTGCATCCTCCGCCCGGTCGGGTTGCAGACCTTTTCTAGACCAGTTCAGCATCGGTCAAGAAGTCTACGACAGGTCACACACAGCACGGACCCCAAGGGGAGACGGACAAGGCGGGAAGCAACAGGGAGACGGACAACGCGGGGACCGACGCTGCGAGCGCTGTCCGGGGATGCCTGTCGTTGCGCGGGGGGCCGGCGTCCGCCGCCCCTCGGGCTCGAGGTTGCGCGTGCGCCCGTGCACTCGGGGTGTAGACCGCGGCGCTCACACCCTGCGGAGCGGGGTGCAGAGATCTCGATCTGCTTGCGCGGATGGTGCCATCCATCGGCAGGTGAATAAGACGGCGCATACCCTCTCGTCGTCTCTGTGGACACGCCGGCCTGAGAGGCGTCGGGATTTATAAGTCCAGCTCCTCTTCATGAGCATTCGTATCACGCAGACTTCCGCACATGTCCTCCAAATCATCTTGGGCAGTCTGCAGGCTCTCCTGGGCCGTCTTGGGGCTGTTTTGGGGGCCTCCTCGGCGGTCTTGGGGCGATCTTCGGGGCGTCTTCGGCCGTCTTCGAGCGTTGGAAGCTCGAGAACGCCAGAAAGCGAAAACATTTGACAAAAACGACTGGAAACTCAAGGATATGGGCCTCTTCGGGCTCTCTCCGAACCCGTCTCGGAGCTCTCTTGGAGCCTCTTGGAAGGCTCTTGGGCTGTGTATTGGCCGTGTTAGGCCTATCTGGGGCCACGTTGGAGCCGTCAGGGCCGTCTTGGAGCGCCTTGGGGCCTCCCGCTCCCGCTCTGTGGCCCAGCTTGGGCCTGTCCTGGGGCTCTCTTGGGCAGTCTGAGGCTCGTCCCAGGCAATTTTCGGGCTCCCTGGGGCCGTCTTGGGGCTCTGTTGGGGGCCTTTTCGGCTTGGGGCGGTCTTTCTTGGGGGCGTCGTCGGCCGTCGTGGAGCGTCGGAAGGTCGAAAACGTGAGACACCGAAAAACATTCAAAAAAACATATGAAAATCAAGAATTGGGGCCTCTTCGGGCTCTCTCGGAACGCCTCTCGGAGGTCTCTTGATGCCTCTTGGAGGCCTCTTGGGCTGTGTATTTGCGGTCTGGAGCCCATCTGGGGCCACGTTGGGGCTATGGGCTGTCTTGGAGGGGCTGGTCAAAGTCCCCCGGGGGCTTCTGTGAGCGTCTTGGAGCTCGCTGGGGCAGTCTGGGAGCTACAGGGCCGCTCCGGGGTGCTCCGGGAGCGGTCTGGCAAACCCTGGTCCTCCCCATGCCCCCCCGTAGCCTGGACCCCGGGCGCCCAGGCCTCGTGCACGGGGACATATATATATATACACACACATACATATATATATATATATATACATATATATATACATGTGTAAACATATATATATATATATACATACATATACATATATGAGGGTGATCCCCAGTCTGCCCCCTATTGTTCAAGATGATGTACGTGTTGCTACTCGAGCATCTTGTATCACGCGAAATGCATTACGCAGTGCGTATAAAGCACCCCTCCTAACGTGGCAAATCCCGAAGCTAACCTGACCCAGGCCCTGGCGACACTGCGCCAAAGCTAACCAGACCCATTAAAGTTAACGTGACCAAAGGCTCAGAGAAACCAGTGTGCAACGCGCGCGGGCTGTAGCAAAGGATGCACCAGATAGGACGGCAACAGGCAATGCAAAAGTGCGACTGCTTCACTAATCCCTCTCCGTTTCCCACAAAGAATCCAACTGGCACCGAAGCGAGTGCAATTTTCGCCATCATGGATGTGGCAGTCGCTGAGGCGAGAGCAGCGTTTGTTTGTAATCATGGATGTGGCCGGCGCTGAGGCGAGAGCAACTCTCGCAAAACGTCGATGGGGCTGGCGCTGAGGCGAAAGCCACCCTCGCAGATGTGAGTGTGTCCAGCGCCGAAGCCTTGAAGCGTGGGCAACATGCGCAGTCGTGGATGCGGCCAGCGCGGAGGCGAGAGCGGTTGTGACAGTCGTGGGTGCTCCCGGCGCCGAGGCGAGAGCGACACCTCGTGATCACAGGACGTGGCCGGCGCTGGGACGAGGGCAACGCTCGCAGTCGTGGAGGCGGCTGGCGCGGAGGCGGCCGCAGCCGTCGCAGTCGCGGGCGCCACAGCGAATGTTGAAGGGGCCCCAGAACACACAAATAAATACACACATATAAAAAGATTCCCCATGTTTTCTTATATTTTCTGGGTTTTTGTCCTCCCCCCCACTTCCCGTATTTTCCTATACTTTCTGGGGAATCGACGACTAATTGTGTCTGCGTGTTTCTTTTCCTCCTGAAATGTGGCCGGCACTGAGGCGAGAGAAACGGGCGCGATCATGCGGCCGACGCTGATGCGAGAGCGAAACTGGCAGTCATGGATGCGACCTGCGCCACGGCGAAAGCAGCATTCGCACCCATGGATGTGGCCAGGGTGAGAACCAACACAAGGTCGATGTAGTAGATGTGGCCGCTGGTGAGGAGAGGGCATCCGTCGCATTTGTGGGCGAGGTGTCCCACTGCACACTCGCCATGGCTCTAGAGCAATCAGTAGCACCACTGAGACGAGCAGCGCAAGAAGCAGCAGCACCATGCGCAGCAGCACCACCACCACAACCACCAACGCCAACAGCAGCAGAAATAGTAGTGCAAGCCACACGTTCGACACCAGCAGTACATCTTTGACCAGCACGACAGCAAACACCACCACATCCATGAAGGGGCCATGGGACACACCAATAAATATTTTCTGGGTTTTTGTCTTCCCCCCCACTTCCCATATTTTCCCACTTGTTCTGGGGAATCCCCGATTCATTGTGTCTGTGTGTTTCTTTCCCTCCTGAAACCACCAGCACCAGCGACAGTAGCAGCAACAATATGACGGCCAGCGCCAAGGCGAGAACGACATGCTCAATGAAGGACGCCGCCGGGCGACTAGGCGACAGCGCAGCAGCAGGACCATCATCACCATCATCATAGTCCTCATCATCACCATCATCATGATCATCACCCTCAACCCTGTTCCCCACCCTTATCTGCCCTCTCCTCATCCTCATCAACATTATCACGCGTCCGCCCTCTCCATTGCCTCATCATCGTCAGCATCATCACAATCACCATCACCATCAGCACCAGCACCACCATCTTCACCATCACCGCCATCAACACCATTATCACCATCAGCAACATCATCACAATCATCATCGTAATCACCTGTATCATCACCGTCATCATCATCACCACCATCACCAGCATCGTCATCATCAGCATCAACATGATCATCAGCATCAACATAATAACATACCTATACGACCCGTTGTTGGATGACATAGAGATTCGGGAGAGGGGGAAGAACAAACGGGACACCGCGGGACACCACTGGGACACCGCGGGACACCACGGGACACCACGGGACACCACGGGACACCACGGGACACCATCGGGACACCACGGCGGGACACCGCGGGACACCATCGGGACACGGCGAGGCACCACGGCGGGACGCCCCCCGCCACTGCGCGTGCCCACAGGAGGGCAGGGCTTCTGCCTCCGAAGCGCCCCATCGACGGCGGGATCGTTCCTCTCGCGCGCCCACGCCGCTGCGCCTCGCCCGCAGGCACGGCACGAGCACGTAGCCGAAGCCGACTTCCCGGTGAGGGGCTCTCCGTTCCACTGCGATTAATCATCATCCCCCTCCACCCTCCTCAATATTTCTCCGCCCTCGTCCGCTGTCCCTTCCTCGTCATCATCCCTCATCCTCTCTGCTGGGCGACGAAACTGGCGGCCTGGTGGTAGTCGTCGAGGGAATCATCGCGCGGCATCTGGCAGTGTGGCGAGATGGCGTCATGGACCTCGTTGGCGCTGGCACGACACGGACACGAGGATGAGTATGAGAAAGGGAAGGCTAGGGAGGAGGAAAGGTTAGGGAGGAGGAAAGAAACGGGAGACGACGAGCCATGTGCGCTCGCGCCATGCCTGACGTTCTTCCCCTCCGTCCCATTCCCATCCATTGCGTTGAATCCCTCTCTGGAAACGCCGAGCCTCGGCCAGGTTCCCGACTTCGATTTTGGGAAACCGGCAGCAAAACCAGAGCCCCTCCTGAGCCCCAGGTAGTCCTCACTTCGACATGTGGACTGCCATCGAAGGTGGTATGAACCCCTGGGCGTCAAGGGCAGAACGAGCCGAACGAGCGAGCGAGCGAACG